GAAGGAGAAGAGGCAGACTGCAATTTCGGCCATTCATAAGTGCCATTGCTAGGTTTGCCCTCCAAACGAAGAGCTCCCGTTTGTAAATCCCTGACCTGAAAGTATGTCGGTGTAAATATAACCGCAGCATCATTAGTTTTACAAAGCTGAAACACTGAAATTAATTTTTTATCAAGTGAAGGAACACACAAAACATTATTTAAAAAGAAAGGTTTAGCAAAAGAGTTTGTAGAAAAAGAACCAGAATGCGTTATTGGTAATGCTGATCCATCACCAAGAAGCACATCGTCACCTCCAGAATACGGATGATGAGCGGAGAGATTGTTGATATCAGAGGTCATGTGGTTTGAGGCCCCTGAGTCAAGCAGCCATGTCGAAGAATCAGAAAGCATTGCTGCATTGGCGCGAGGTCTCCATGACTGAACAGGATTTGGTTGTAGCCAAGGCTGAGAAGGTTGAAGTTGTTGTTGATTTGGCCATGTCTGGTTTGTTGTGGAGCCTGGAACGAGGCGAAACTGAGGACAGTATTTGGCACTATGTCCATGCACTCCACACGCCTGGCACCTACCAAGATATGGTTTGGAAAAACGATTTTGATTGTAGGTGTTTGAGTTACCAGAATAACGGTTCTGAGACGAGTTGGTGTTGTTGCGAGAGTTATTGTAACTGTTGTTGTTGTTGCGGTTTTGATACCTAGGTCTTGCATCAACCGCATTTGCCACCACCGGTGTTACAGCAGACGTTTCAGTAGTGAGAATCATAGCTTCTCTATTCACTAAGCGCTCGTACAGCTCGGTAAAGGAGATCGAAGAATCGCGTCCATGAATTGCATCAACTTCTGATTTGTAACCTTCAGGGAGTCCCGCTAAGATCCTTTCAGTAAGATCTTCTTGATCCATCGGTTTACCCAGAAGAGCAAGGTCATCAGCTGTGGCTTTGATCTGTCGGAGATACTCACTGATTGTTTTGGTCCCTTTAACACGTCGCTCTATCTGAAATTTAAGCTGACGAACATGACCACGAGATGCATTACCAAAAGTTGCCGCAAGAGTACTCCAAACCTCCTTTGTGGTATTTGCTGTCGAGACAATCGATTGAACCGACAATGAAATCGCTCCTATCATCGAGCTGTAGAGAAGACGGTCTTGGCGGCGCCATGGGGCATACGCTGGATTTGGAATGAGAATTCCATCACGAGTGATGAAGTTCATGGCCTTCAAGCAACGCTCGGACTTGTCTATTCCACATCAAATAATTGAGAGTGGTGAGTTTTGTCACACCAGACATGTTGACAGAGAGTAAAGTACTCTGTGGATCTTGAGCGTTGAACACAGCAGTAAGTTCAGTTATAGATTCAGACATATTGTGAAATTAAGAAGAAACGGAGATTTTTTTAAGGGATTTAGAAATCGACCAGGAACCAAAAAGAATAAGACTTGGAAGAAGATGAAGAAGTCGGGAAAAAGAAAAAGATCTACAGCTCTGATATATATTGAGTTTGTATGAACTGATAATTATTATTGAGATAGGAACTCTGTTTATATACACAGGAAGAAGAGTGATGAACAAGACAAGAATATACAGCAATGAATGAGAATATACAGAAGTAAATGTAGACTGTGATTTAGGGATTTAGTCAATCCACCGAATCTGTATTCCATATTCTATCAAGAGGAAGCCTTTTTAAGCTCTTTTCCTCCTATCTTGTAACTTGTAAGCCACCTTAGCTAAGAGTTGTTTATGGGGAGAGAGGATTGTCTACACCTGACGTATCTTTGGAATTCCTCCAGTTGCAGTGGATCCACCCGTAGCCTCCTTCTTCTTTGTAGTTACAGAGATTAATCAAATGGAGGATGATGCTATTAGATAAGTTTAATCTAATGATTAGTTAAAAAAATAATTAAAAAAACTAAAGTAATAGTAGTGAAACATTAAAATAGAATAAACATTAATGAAATCATTATAAATAAAAATTCATAGACTTTTAGAATCATGGAATAACAAATGATTTTGTATAGAATTATAGAATCATCAAACCAATAACATTAGAATTTAATAAGAATGTGAGAATCTATAACACAATATTTCAAAATTCTAAAAATCATTATAAACTAGATATGGACCCATGCGTTGCACGGATTTTATTTGATACTTTAATATTTATAAAATATATATAAATAATAGTTCATGTTATAGTTTGAAGATTTGTTTTGCATATGTTGTGTGAGATTTATTTTAGAAATTAAAAATTTGTTTTCCCATAAAGTTCCGATTAGTATTTGTATTTTAATCAACACGGATTTTATTTGATGTTTTATATTTACAAAGAACATAAAATAATAAACTATTTTATAGAATTATTTTTGTATATGTTGTGTAAGATATTTCAAAATTTAAAATCTGTTTACCCATATAAATTGTTGTTAATATCTGTATTTTAAAAATACTATACCTAAAATTTTTAACCAAACCTAATTCAAATTAAGAATTAGAGTGAAATAAAATTGAAAGTTAAATAAATTCAATCAAGTTGATGAAAATATCATACACTTGTTATGTACCAAAATTCAATGTTTGTTTTATTTGACGTTAAATATGTTATTCTTATTGTTTAAATATATTCTCATGTTTATTGGTCATTTTAGTGATATTTTTATTGTCACTGTAAGAGTTCTTAACTATTTATGCATTTGTGACCATCAATATTTTTTGGTTACGTGATTTTGAATTTTTAATTATTCAGCCATAGAAATAATTTTGATCATCACTTTTATCATGTAATTGGTGATAATAAAACCATCAATACATGTATCTTATAGCCACAAAAATTTATGTGCATGTTGAAAACTCTAAATAACAATTGTGTGAATAACCGTTTATAATAAAACATAATTTCTTAACCATAGTTTTTATAAAGACAAAACTATAATTTTATGATGATAAATGCTAAAATAAATAAATAAATTATTTTATTTTATATTGTAATAAGGTTAAAGAAGACAATTTTAGAGGTAATTAAGAATTTCTTCTAATTTCATTTTAACTATATGACATTTAATATCATATATATCATTTTGAGTTTTTAAATAACTGTATAAATTTAATTTCATCTCTTAAATATTAAACCCTAAACACTAAATCATAAATTCAGATGTTGTACGCTTTTTATGTAGTATTAAAAATGGTATTTAAGTTATGTATTTCAAACAATTTCTTTAGTTTTTTCCAATTTTTGAATCTATAACTTTTCCTATGTGTACTTACTTTATAGTTATTTTCGAATTACTTGTTTCTAATTTCTAACAAACAATAAGACTGTTTTATTAAAATTGTCTGTTATTAAATAATTTTCTGAATTCATTTTAATGATATATTTTCATATTAACATTTTAACAAAATTATTTGGAAATACGATATATTAAAACACAGATGTAATAAGATGACGATAAAACTTTGATTTAATTTTGACTAAATACATGTAAAGATCATTTAAGGTGATAATAACAATCTATTTTTATGACTAAACACAAAAGTACCAAACATGTGTTTGGTTTTTGTATGACCAAATACATACAAAAACCAATATAAAGACTAATCACGACAAACTCCTATTTTTTGTTAATTAAATTGTTTTAGTATCATGTTTATCATCAAAATCTTTATGTTTTAAATTACTGTGAAATAATTTTTTTAAAATCTTCATTTTCTTTTGATTTTAAAAAAGAAAACATCATATTCGATAAATTCTTTTACTTATAACTTAAAAAAATATCAAATACTGTTTTACATTTTTATTTAAGATTTAAGTAAATAAAGATTACTATCATACAATCATTTACAATTATCTTCTATTTAGAATTTCCAAAAATTAGATTACTATCAAATAATTATTTCAATACTACTAAATGACTTTAAAACTATTATTTTACAATTCGTATAACTAATATTTTTACTGTTAATTTTTTAATTAAATAATTTAAAAATCAGGCATAAGCACAATGGTACATAAAGATAACAAATTGACATTGAAATTAACTTACCTACAACATCATAGATAATTTTATAGTATCAATAAAAACAAACATACATAAGCATATAAACACATTAACTTACATACAATATCAAAATACTACATACAAACATCTAAGTATAACTATTGCAATAACAAACGTACGACAGCATTACAAATATGAAAACAATAAAAATCATCACCCGTTTAAGTATAAAAGTGCATTAAAACATTGAAATAATTATTCTACAAATATTATTTGTTTAGGATTTTAAAAAGGGAAAACTACTATTAAAGATTCTTTTATAATTTTCTTATGTTCAAAATTTTAGAAAATGATAATTACTATCAAATATGTTTTCCAATTACTGTTTCTTCAGGATTTTTCAAATCTTTTTTTATTAATTTTTTATAAAAGAAAAGGGTTTAGAAAAAAAATTCTATTAAATAATTTATAAAAATTGTAAAAATCGCTTTCATTATCTTAGTATATATATTTTCTTAATCATGATTAATTTTAACACATATAAAATTTTTAAACAGAAATTGCTAATATTAAAAGGAATGTTATTATCAAATACTGTTTTTGTAAATATCTTTTATTCAGGATTTAAAAATGGAAAATTACTATTACATAATATTCTAAACTGTTTTTTTAACAGAATTCGTTTTTGTCATTATCTAAATAATTATATATATAAATTGTGATATAATTTAACATTTGTCATAATTTTAAATATATAATTACCATGTGTCAAATCTTGTTAATTAGTAACTTTGAAAAATTAAGCTTTATAAGATCATATTTCCACGTAAAATTTTAGAAGGTAAAGTTGATTTAAAAAGGATCAAAAAGTAATGTACTTTTTAGGATTTTTTTTTTTTTAACAACTTTTTTTCGAACAATTGTGTACTTTTTAGGATAGATATTCAAATTTAATGGTTTTGCATATTTGTACTATTTTATCTGACAGATATTATAGATGTCGATTTAAAACGGGAACCGTTGGATGGTTAGGTGAGTATTTTAGAAATCGTTGGATTCCAATTTCATTGTCAAACTTCATTTTCATCAAATCCCAAACTCATCCATGGCGATTTCTCACGCTCAGCCTCTGCTTCTTCTCCTCTTCCTCCTACCCACTTTGCGCGCCACTTCTTTCCACTACTGTGGTTTGTTCCTAAACCCTCTTCTTGAGGATACCTGTCAGATTAGTTTTCTTTTTCCAGCTGGTTTAGCATAGGATCCATTCAGGTTTTTAATTAGTTAATAAGACTAATTTGGAGAAAATTTCTGCGTTTAAATTTGTTTCGCATGTGAGATTAATCAACTTCATGGAGCCCTACTAAGTGTTGCTCTGTACGTTTGACTCTTGTAGATAAGAGACTCGATCCCGTTAAGGTCAACGGTGTGGAGATCTCTCCTGATCCTGTTGTGAGTGGCAAAGCCGCAACATTTAAGATCTCGGGTTCGACTGGTATGATCTTCCCTCTCTGCCTCTCTTCTTGTAACTTTTGAACATACATTTACTAGTGTCAACATTTCGTTGGTGTGAATAGATGAACACATCTCTGGTGGAAAAGTAGTGATCAGTGTTTCATACTTCGGAGTTCATGTCCATACCGAAACTCATGATCTTTGCGATGAATCGTCCTGCCCGATCGAACCAGGCAGCTTTCTCCTTTCCCACTCCCAAACACTGCCTTCCATTACACCACCTGTAAGTCATCTCCTTTTTTTGCTTAAACAGTGTGGATTGTTCATTTCCATATAGTGTTCACTTGACAAATGCTTTAAGATGTGCTTCATGTTTCCCATTAGCTTGACTGATCTCTTTCAAACAGGGTACTTATACACTTAAGATGACGATAAACGACAAGAATGGCGGCCGACTGACCTGCATCAGCTTCAAATTCAAGATCAAGTTAGATTCCACGGTTTATGCTATTTAAGGTCTCCGGTGTAAATATGTTGCCTCTCTCGTAAACTTGTGTGGTGTCCAAATAAAATGCTCTCTTTGGGGCTGCTTGCCTTTGATGTACATTACAAACAACCCCCACAATCTTTTATTTCTTATATATCCATGGTCGTTTTCATCTACTTTCTGCTTCTGCTTAAGTTCATTAGAAAAAGTCTTCAGTAAAGATCATTTCAACTACAGTGTTCTTAACAAGTTGTAGGGCTTCTTCACTTGTTCTTACAAGACTTACTTAAGTAAAGACCTTAGTTCCGAAGAACAGGAACTGATCGATTACAAAAGTAAAAGAGTTTTATAGAGCTGCTAAGTAAAAAAAAAAGGAATGTCTTCCAAATTTCATACACGACAGTAAGAATCCCTTACCTGCGAGTCAAGTCCTCGCACTCCTAATCAATGAGAATCTTCAAGCAACTTCGCCGCCTCGTGAACCAAACACAAAACATTGCTTACTTCTTCTTCAACCTTGCCTGATAATAAACCGCTCTTCTCCTTCGCTAGAGTCTCCAATGCATTTTCGACTTTCTCCATCGTATCCTTGAGGGCCTCTTTCGCTCTATGCTCCTCTGCATCTACTTCTTCTCTTACCACCATCACCTCTTCTTTTCTCATATCTGACTCAAAGACAAGCTGGTGAATCTCCATTATCATGTTTTGTATTTCACACATCCCTACTTCTTCCATCTCTTCAAGAGACTGCTTCTCCTGGATCGTATGTTCCAGTTTCCTCTCTGATTCGGATCTCGTCTTTGATCTCTTCTCTATCTCTTTCTCTACGGTTTTGATCTCTTTCTCCAGCTTCATAGACTTTCTGTTCATATCCTCAATTTCTTTTCTCACCGAAGCCAGCTTCTCCCGAGAAAGCTTCATCTCTGATTGGAGCTTTATTTTTTCTTCCTCGGATTTCAGCAAATCTGTGGCTTTCCCTGAAAGCAGAGTGTTTCTCTGAGGAGAGTTGATCTTCTCAATGTTATCAATCGCACAGAGGACCTTCTCTTCCTCGTGTCTCCTGTTCTCTTCATCCACTTTTATCTTCAGCATTACAATGTTACTCTTTAGCTCTGCTTCAGATTGTTGCATCTTACCCATAGACGCGTCGATTTCTCTTTTGTAAGATTGGAGAACTCTGAGCTCTTCATTTTTCTGGTTTAGATGATCTGAAGATGCCTTCACACGCGCCCTTGCCCGTTCTTCTTGCTGTTGAAAGTACGCTGAAGATGATACAAAGTTTGATAGCGAGTATCTGAGAGCAGCCAGCTTTCTCTCTGCAGCTTCTTTTCTCGCGTTTGTTTGATAAGAGACAGCTTCAGTTATCCCTAGCTCCTTAACTTTGTTTTCCGCCTCTTTGCTTTGCTTTGACAGCTTGATGATCTCCAAAATAATCTCTTCAAGCGAAGAGAACACTCCAATAGTTTTGGCAGAGGCTGAAAGTTTCTCCTGCGCTAATTCGAGTTTCAGCCTCGCAGAGTTTAAATCTCCTATGAACCTTTCAGAAGTGATGTCACAGAGCTCCATTTCTGTGTCAATAAGCTTCTCTTGGACAGGAGCAGAGAGCAGTCTTTTGAATTCATCTTTTTCCTTCATTGCATTTTCATACAGACTCATAAGCTTCTCATTCTCCTCGTGCATCTCGCTAAGCTGATTCTCCAGATTTCCAATCATTTTCTTCTGTTCCTCTGCTGCACTTTTCTCAACCTCCAGATCAATATCAGAACTGTTCTGAGCTTCAGCATCTTTTTCCTTCATTGCATTTTCATACAGACTCATAAGCTTCTCATTCTCCTCGTGCATCTCGCTAAGCTGATTCTCCAGATTTCCAATCATTTTCTTCTGTTCCTCTGCTGCACTTTTCTCAACCTCCAGATCAATATCAGAACTGTTCTGAGCTTCAGCATTATTACTTGGTGAATCTGTCTCGGTATTCACCAAGGCTCTGGAGCTATTTTCTGCGGCTACTTGTTCATACAGCTCTATAAGTTTGTTGTTGTCCTCAATCAAGACCTTAACCTTCTGGCACAGTTCGTCATTTTCTTTCGACAAATTGACTGCTGTCTCGTGAGCTACAGCTTCTCTTTGACTAGCACATGCAATGGCTTGAACCATTGTTTCAACCTCGATCTGATCACCATCGCCAACCCTGCCTGTGGAGGATCTTATTCCCTCAAGCTGCTTAGCGAAAGTTTCCACAAGCCTGAAAGAGAAAACAAAAGAGATGAGCTGAGGCTTAATGACCGAGCCGGACACTGAAATAAATACTGTATGTGCAGTAAATTACTTTTCCAATCTCTCTTTCTCGTCGATGGAAAAACTTAATGATTTCTGAAGAGATTCCATTTCTGCTCGATTTTGAATAGCCTTCAGATAGCACAAACAAGCCATAAGTTAAGAGATTTTTTTCATCTAATGAATAAAGAGAGAAGAAAACTCGACTGGATAGACTGAAGGCCAGAATAACCTGCATCCGGAGAAATTCATTCTCATCTTGGATAGATGAGAGTTTCTTTGACTCCTGATTCTGCAACAATAAGAACAAGTGTCAGAATACAATACTTTGTGAGAGGTACTACCAGCAGAGATGAAAGACATTTAAGTCCATACCTGGTTCGAGCAGAACATGTTGCTGATGTTACCATCTTCTTTCACCGTGGAGTAATCTGATTCGTGCATGAGTTTCCAATCAAGAGCTTCTAGCAGCTATACATATGGATCCAAGTTACATGCTAGTTCAAATCGTAAAGAAAACTTCTGAGGTCTAGAAATGACAGAATATTTTATTCACCTTAGCTTGTAACACTTGAATCTGTTGATTCAGGATATCCTGTTCACCTTCCTCACATTGTGATTTCAATCTGTGTAACAAGTAAAAGTTTCATAATCAGTGAGCGAAAGTTAAACCTGGGGAAAGGTAGGGAATTTTCAAAGAGTCTTGCCTTCGAATCTCTTCTTTCAACCGCAAATTCTCCGTCGCAAATTTGGTAACTTCCTGGTTTCTATCGACCTGAGCACGTAGCATTTCAATTTCCTTCAGAAGGTCAGCCTTTTCCTTTTGCAGATGTGCTTCAACAGAGATCTTTCCTGAAGCTACCCCTTGTAAACTCTTGATTGCTGAATCTCGGAGCTTTAACATCATTTTCAGCCCGCGTATTTCATCCTCTCTTTTCTTTTCCTGTTCGAAGAAAATAAAATTATGTACTCGTGAATTTCATCATTCTTTTCTCAATTATCCCTCTGATGACTCCCAAAACAGAAGTATATTTCTAGCGTACCAACTTCATTGAGGCCTCATTTTCAGCAGCCAAAGCCTGTAATGCAGCGTCCTTTTCCCTCTCTCTCCTAAGAGCACCAACTAGTGCAACTTCGTAGTCTTTTGGCTACAAACCCATGCAAGTGAAATTGTTAAGAACAAGCCAAATGCTGGACATTGGAAATTATATTCTTAGGGAAACCAATTTCAAACCTTAGCCGTCCTTTTGTTAGTTGCCAGAGGAGTGAATGATCCATTGAAACCATCCCACTTGAGAGACATTGGAGAAGCAGGGCAACTCATTAATACAGTGTCAGTGTCCTGATTGTCAACTCCAGCGTTGTTAACGATTCCTCTTAAGCGGGATACTTCTTTCTGTATGCACAACACTTCAGAACAAGTCCGTGGGAGAGAAAAAGAAAGTCTTTCCTAAAATAATCTACCTTAAGCTGTTGGATTTGTAGCCGCATTGCAAAAACATCTCCAGACGCATCTTCGTTGACAATTGCCTGTTTAGTATAAATATAATTAGTATAACGAAACGTGTGCCCTATATCAGGTCCATGAGTTAAGCAATGATATGAAGGAATAATTCCATTACATTGTTCTTAATAAGTTTTGCACGCTGGGCAAACTTCAATGTACTTAGGGTCTCCAACGAGCAACTGAATCAGGAAAAAAGGACAAATGAGATACAGTCCGGTGAACATTTCAGGGACTGATGAACAGACGCAAGAGTAATATGTACCTGCTGGATGGGCTTATGTTAGCAATTATTATCGTCTTTGAATTCCCTCCAAGAGACTCCTGCAGGCACGTAAGAATGGCGGCCATCAAGCACTGCAATTAGATTCCAGAACTATAATTGCAGAGATCAACATTTGGGAAATATTTTACTTGGAGCAGAAATGTAAGCTTTGAATCTCTGTAGGGAACATGCACTGATTTTCCATTGGACACACTAACAAGATTCATGATCACAAGCCTGCAAAGTCATTATAGGCCAAATCATTAAAACTACATAAGAATGACTAAACTAGAATAAATGACAGTTGAGAAATATATATTCTTACCCCAGTGTTGAAAGAGACTTATTAATGTTGGTTGCTTCTTTGAGCCGTTCACCTTCAGCTCCTGAACTCTTTTGCCTGTATCCCACATGTAGGTCAGTAGAATATCTTCAGCAAACAAGTTCACTTCTAGAATTTTCAGCTGATACTACCTTTCAGATCCAGCTAAATCAACAAGATTAAGCCGTGCAAACCGATGATGAGTAACACCTTGAGATACCCACTAACAGAAAAAAACAGGACAGGTTAGTTTCATCTGAGAAAACTTATAAGATATATATACCTAGTTACAGCGCAAGAACTCTCCTCAACATGTTACCTTGCTTTCAATGATGCATGTAAATACACTGTGAGATCGACTACTTGCACGATTCATATTCGTTGCAGCTACTTTCCTGTTTGCAGCACCCTACACGTAAACCGACATGTATTGTGAAAGTTGCATCAGAAACTACTATAACAAGCGAAGTAGTTCATAAGATCAAATAAAAATATGGAAGTTTAAATAAGAAGCGTCATCAAGGTACTAAAACTACTTGGCAAAGTAAGAGTATATATTTTATGAACTTTCTGAAAACTAAAACATTTTAAGTCTGTATGGAAGATCAAATAAAAATATGGAAGTTTAAATAAGAAGCGTCATCAAGGTACTAAACTACTTGGCAAAGTAAGAGTATATATTTTATGAAATTTCTGAAAACTAAAACATTTTAAGTCTGTATTGTATGAAAGAAGGTAACGATAAGAAAAAACCTAGAGGAGCAGACCAAGTGCACCTAATGCAAGAAAAAGAATCTACAAAGTCTGCAAATCAAAAAGAAAAAAAAAGTCAAATAAATTACCTCCATTAGTTGTTGAATCACATCTCTGGCACTTGAAACTTCAATCTCCTTTAGATTTTCAACATGAATACCCTTCTTGTGGTCTTCCCTTAGCTGCAAAAGAAGAGGTTAAGCATGATTTAGTTAAACCCCTTATGCATTAAAACACAAGGTTTGTATGGTATACCAGTAAATTATTAGAAGATGGATCTAGCAAATCAAGAATTTGCTCGTTGTAAATCTCAAGAAATGAGCATCTACAAGTAAAATGTAGCTTCTCTTCTTTGCGGACCTCTTTTTCCTGATAGAGAGAGAGAGAGAGAGAGAGAGAGAGAGGCGTTAGAAGAGAGCAGAAACATATGCGTACAAAAAGGTATGAATGAGGAAGGAAACCTTTTGGATCCTGGAGAACAAATACTCAAAAACTCTAGGTGTCATCCCGCAGTTGACACTATGTCTACGTGTGCCTCCCTCAATATCTCCAAGCATAGTGTGAGTTTTGCCACTTCCCGTCTGCAAAATGAAGACTTACAATCAGACTGGAAATAGTCGAAGTAAAACGTTAGATAAAAATGAAGCATCGCTCACCTGGCCATAAGCAAACATGCAGCTGTTGTAGCCAGCCACAACGTTCTCCACCATAGGTACTCCAGCAACTTTAAACATCTTCTCCTGTAAGTGAAAGAAGAGTGTTATTAAAAAAAAAAGAATGTATTGTATTAAAGAGCGCTGGGAAGCAAAAGGTACCTGCGTAACATTCTCGTCAGCGACAAGATCAAATGTGAAACGAGCCTCTGGATTCCCAATCCAAGTGATTGCCTGGCCGTTGTCTTGCCTAACACATTTGTTGTTCCCTTGTGTAGAGATCTCTGAGCTGCTAAGTGGACGGGTTCTTATGATAACCTATATGATAAATTTAGCCAAGAATAACCAAAATCTACTTAGGAATCATCATATACCAAATCTCCAAATAATAAAGAGAGAGAACTGCACCTGCACATTGTGATCTTTCCAGAAGGCCGGATCTTCATTGAATTCGAAGCTGTGAGACCGCGATATTTGTGCAGATCCAGAGAAAACCTCTGCATCTTCGTCCAAATCGGGCATTCTTCTAACCATAGACTGGTGATGAGTGTGGTTCTCCCTCGAAAACGCGCTTGGATCCGGCGTCGTGCACGGCACAGCGCGTACGGACTCCGACGTGACGGCACGCTCGTTGAATCCGAACCGGCGCTTAATCGCACTTGCAGTTTCCGATATAAACGGCATCTGATTGAGTGAGTGAAAGAGAGAGAGAGATTTTGAAATTGGGTGTGAAAGGGAAAGAGAATGAAACGTTGTGTGAAGGAGGAGACGAGATAGATATAATAATAATCGGAGGGTTGAGGGAGCGTTTTGATTAACGGATCAGATTCATTAGCGTTTTTTTGAAATCATCGGAACGTTGGGCCACTTTATTTCTCTTTTTCTATTTTATTCCTCACATAATTAAAATATTATTTCTTTCCAACATTGGTTACAAATTCCAACAGCCAAATCGGAATCAAATATATGAGATGGAACATTGTAGAGGATCAAGGAATGACTCGTAGTCATTGCTATAAGTTATTTTAGATACATCTTCCGATTATCAAATAATGAGGAAATAGAGAAAGTACTATCTTATGTGTTTACAACCATTACATCAGCATACAATAAGAATCTCACAGTTCTGGTAACCGAATGGAAAGTTAAATTGACTCTTTTTGCAATGCATCCAGAGAAAGCTTCAGGGCCAGATTGAATGACTGCATTGTTCTACCAGAAAATTTGGTATATTGTAAAAGATGATTTAACTCTTATGGTTAATCAACTCATGTTTGAAGGTACATTACCTTCTAGTTTAAATGATACCAACATATGTCTCATTCCGAAAGTAGATAAGCCAAATCAGATGGGCCAGCTACGTCCCATCAATTTATGTAACGTTAGTTACAAGATAATCTCTAAGGTCCTATGTTAGAGACTAAAGAAGGTTCTACCAGATCGGATTTCAGAAACTCAATCAGCCTTTGTTGCTGGGAGACAGATATCTGACAACATCATGATTGCCTAGGAGATGTTTCATGCTCTAAGAACCAAGCCTAGTGGACGCAACAAGAGGATGGCCATTAAGACAGATATGAGTAAGGTGATGATAGAATGGAGTGGTCCTTCATTGAGACTACCATGAGAAAGATGAATTTTTCAGAAATCTCAATAACCTAGATAATGCGATGTGTAACATCAGTAAAGTATAAGGTCCTTATGAATGGCCAACCAAGAGGAAATATTTTCTTGGAGAGAAGTCTGCGACAGGGGGATTGATGCGCTTCAGTCCATGGATCAGAACGTGGAGTCCAGCCAGCATGCTGATCAAGACGACCAGTTCACTTCAACCGAGGTTCACGTTTCCAACCGTACTGAACAGAAAAACCGAGCCGTGTACCGGATGGACCCGCGTACACCCGGGATGGAGCTCAGGCTGGATCCAAGATCAGATGACCATACTGACCGTACTGGAAGACCGTCCATCACAACCAACTCGGCGAGCTAGGACTGATGATCAAGTTAGAACCAACTTCAAATCGATTGATTCCGATTCAAACCGAAGCTTCTCGTTTCTAGCCCGACTGGGCCTTACTACATGTACCGATGGGCATGCTGATGGATCATCCGACTACTTTGATCCAATCTTTGAGTTTAATCATCAGGAATTCTCTAAGGCAAGGATTATTTAGCTGTCCAAAGACTTGGGACGTGCTGGTACCAAGATGGTCCGTGAAACGTACACCGCGGACTGCCCCGATCATACCGCGTATGTCCTTCTCCTTACCGCCAAGGCCCCACTTGGATACATTGAACCTGGACAAGAGTAGCTGAAGGGACCATCACCAGTCAACCTTTTATTTCGTGCCTTGACCAGATCTAGTCAAGTTTGTATTTTCTATGCATTGTTTTCTGACAAAACTCTTCATTTCCTTTGACTAACTACTATAAATATGTAGTCTCTATTTCACAATCATTCATTCAATTTTTCCTTAATAAAAACGTGAGTCTTTGCTCTCTTTGTTCTTCTTCAAGAACTTGTCTTTGTTTGCTTGGTGTCTTTGTTGGACCGGTGAGTTATATCCGGAAGAAAATCGAAAACTGTCTCTTTGTCGGACATGTGAGTCATATCAGGCGACAACTAGACGTGGGAAAAATCGTAAAAAAACATTTTTTAATAGAACCTCGAGTAAATCGTAGAAAATGGCAACGATTAACCGAAACATCGAACATTGCCAAACTTTACGATTAACTCGAGAAACTTATTTAAAATCAACATCGCATAAGGAAACGATCTCGTCTAAATTCGTAAAACGGTTTTATCGCAAAACGGCTCGGAAAGTCTTAAGACGCGATAAAAGCCTACTCGCGACTTTAACAAAGTCCAGCCCAAAGATACGACGACAGTTTAACGTTTTACTCGCATAAAGAAGATAAATGTCAAATTTGAAGATAAATGTTAAGTTTGAGGATACATAGAAGATTTCCGCGGGGAAAAAGGAAAGATGAAGACAAATGGAAGATTTTCGATAAACTCGAATCTGGGCGAAATGGAAGGACTAAACCGCTTAGGAAGGGAGTATATAAGCAAAAGGCAGAGGACAGAAGCAGGGGACGATTTTCAGAGCTCTCATCTAAGACTTTTACAATTTTTCTAGACTTAGAATTTTTCGCACTTAGAAACCTAGGTTTTATCCTCGACAAGTTCGGTTTCTATGACTGGCACTCAATTACTAGACGAACTCGCCCAGGCAGTTCTATCTCTCGTCCAGCTCTATCAACTGAACTACGTTCGACTTGATCCTCGAAAGGGGTACGTAGGCAGCCTTTCATAAGGTTTAGTCCGAAATCAATCAAACTCTCTTTTCTTATCTTTTTTGTGTTTTGTTATCGAGCTGCGACTCAACTAGGTTTAGGGTTTTATGTTGATAACTCGCTGACGGCCCCTGCGGCCAAAGCCTTTGTAATCTCTTGTAAAGATCGCAACGCTCTTACGCGAATTCGAAATAAGATCGACTTTCTTTATAAATTCGTTTTATCATGTTTTTCATATTTCCCGCATTTATTTGGTTACTTGTCGTTGGCTTTTGCAGAGATCCGGGTCCTTTAAAAGATTAGGGTTTTCCTAAGTTTCCTTATTTTACGGAAATCGACGGTGTGAATACCGGTTCCCAAAGTTTGGCGCTAGAAGGAGGGGGGGGGTCGGATTACTCTTACTCATAGCCGCAAAACGCTTGATCAAAACGATGTCTGGAAATATTAAAGACAAACTTGCAGCTCGCAAAAACCCTGGTAGAACAACTCCAGCAGCGACTACTCCTATAGCCAACGCTCACGCAAACGCTGTAGTACTTAAAAAAATTAAAAACCTAATCGCGACTTTTCGCCACGGGAAGAGCAACAAAACAAGCTTGCAATTCTATCTCAGATCACTAAGGCAACGATAAAATCTATCAAACCCCATAGTGTTTTTCTTATTCTGAGTTGGACATCTCATTACGTATGGGTTGAGCAAAAGACGTTTTCCAAGAACATTTCGGAAAAATAAAACTTGATGTCCAAGAAACCGCGGAATAAACCGTAGGTTACTCGCGAAATAAACCCTGGGTTACTCCCGGAAGAGCCCTAGGTTGGTTACTCACGGGAAAAACCATAGGCCACTCGCAGAATTGGGCGATACTATCCGGCTCGAAAAGACGGTGAGTTGGCCAAGAAACTCAGCTTGCCATCTTGGCGAGCTGACCGGCCTTCCACCTCACCCGCGAGGCACTGACTTTGCCCCAAAGGTTCTTACTGTCCAGATTGCCATACGGCGACCTGGCCAAGCTAAACCAGCTTGCCGTACGGCGACCTGACCGGCCTTCCACCTCGCCCTCGAGGAACTGACATTTCCCCAAGGGTTATTACCATCCAGCTCGCCATACGGCGAGCTGGCCAAACTAAACCAGCTCGCCGTACGGCGAGCTGAACCGTTCAACCAGTTTGCTGTGCGGCAAGATGAAATGGCTCACCCAGCTCGCCCTATGGCAATCTGAACCACTCCTCGAGTTTCTCTGTCCAGTCTCCATCGTACAGCTTTTCGTTTCGTCTCAATCGGACTTTCCATTGAGATTTTACGATGAAAACAAGTCAACTCGACGAATCGAGATTGTCCGCACCAGTTCGCCGTATGGCGAGCTGAGAGAGCTCATCCAGATAGCCCTATGGCGAACTGAACCAATCCTCAAGTTTCTCTCTCGAGTCTCGATGGCGCTGATTTCCGTTTCGTCTCAATCGGCGTCTTCATTAAGATTTTACGATAAAAACCGCAAAGACTTGTTTTTCGTATAAGTTCGAATCAATCTTCTAAAACGGCAACGGTCGACTTAACACCAAAGTATCCTAAACTATACAAGAGATCTGAACTCTCTAAACACAATCTGGTTTTATGAAAGTCTGCAACGTTAAGTCGAAAAAATCTAATCATAAACGTGTGATTAATTTTTCAAACAATATATGAAGCCCACCTAGTAAGTTAAGTAAAACCAGCAGTATGAGGAAACGAGAACATAAACTCGGATGTCAAAATCTCTTTTTCACTCCGAAACTCTCGTCGGTATTTCATGAAAACCGACTCGTACGAGAATAAGTCAGAAGACGCGAGAATAACGAAGAATGGACAGTCCCAAATCGTCGATGAAACTAAGGTATGACCGATTTGAAAATTTAATTAGACTTCTAATTTCTCGTATGAAAGGAATGAAAACGTCTTGTAAACTGCCTAGGGAACTTAAAATTTAAGGGGATATTCTAGCATGCTAAGTCGTAAGCAATTTTTGTCTATCTCGATCTATTGTTCTCTAACTGTTCAGGCATAACTCGCAAACCGATATAATCTCTCATACAACCGAGAAACGATCGCTACACATTCGAGCGTACTCATCTCATTTCTTAAAGAAATAAGGAGCTAGAGACGCTAACGTCGTCTTAAAACCGACTCGCTCCTAGAAATTTCGTAAATCAGACATACTCCAAGTCATCATCAATCCACCATGGTCTTTAAATGACCAATCGGAAATATTCAGACAATTCGATGCCTCGTCAAAATCATCCCAAAAGCAAACGACAATCTAAGATCCGTCTAAACGCTAAAGACTGATCCAAATCGTCTGGGAAATAATCTCAAGGAGTATACGGCATCTCTCATCGTAATCATGAGGTTAGAAAATCTCTTCGAAACTTCAGAAAAGAAACTCGATGATTTGCCGAAGTCCTAAAGATCTCT